TTTGTCTGTAGTGTATATAATTCATAAATTTTTTTGAGTTGTTTTTTGTTATTTTAATATTGTTTTAATTATATATATATAAATTCTTCATATAACATGTGTGTGTGAGATTTAAAAATACTTACCGCAGGGCAGATCCACATGTCGGAATCAATGTACTCGCAATGCAATATCTTGCCATTACATTGACGTTGTTTCGAACAAAACTGATTCTGATAGCAACCGTACACCTTAGTGTATCCATAATAAGCGCAATTCTCTTTGCACGTGCCTTCAGTGTTTAAATCCACTTCATTTACGATATATCCTTGGAACAGTTGCTTCAACTCCGTATAGGTTTCACCTAAACAGAAATTGTACATACAAATTATACATATCCAATGATAAGTCATATAAATTAATATCTTTGCGATGTATTATCCTTATTCAGGAAGCTTTACCTAATTTATGTACACGTGGATCACATCTCCAAAGACTTCTTGGGGCGTATGTCATTGCAGTTTTTACAGCTCTTAATGTCTCTGACGTTCTTATTGCGTATTGGTTTTTCAACGTCTGTATTTCCTCGCTAAAGTTATTACCTGTTAAAGGATTTATCAAGATTAGGTATATTCGAATTGTAATCGCATTCAACTAGGTTTCTCGATTCGCGATGATTTGTAGCGCAACAAAAATCAATTTCTTTCTCTTAGATAACGTTTTTATTATTTTTCTAAATTGCTATATTTAATTTCGTTTTAACGATCCAAAAAAAGATTGGTTTTAATTGCTCTATGCAGATCACGCGACGTCGAAAATACTATATGTAGGACGTATGTTTAAACGTGAGCATCAGTACCACGTACCTTCGTTGTACAGACGTAATAGCATGTATGAAAATTGAATCATAGTGTAACCCTTGATCTCCGTCAACGCCACGGCATTATACAAATTGTACAGCAGTTGCTGCGGCGATTGCATCTCATTGCACATTTGGTTCGATGCTTCCTGCACATACAAGAATACTTTGCAAATATTTTGAAGAGTATATGTATTTATGCAGATTTGAATGTTATTTGTGATCAAGAATGAACGCATCACTGTGATATTTAATTCTCAATAGAGATGCCATGAATTTTTTTAGACTTTCGTTGCATACATGTGAACCCTTTTATGCCTCAATTAAAAGCTTTAAGTATCTGCTTATTAAACAAGTATTTCCAATATGAAAAGTGTCTCCTGAAAAATTTGTGGGTGTTCTTTACAGTATTGCAGCTGTCTGTTAGATACCTTAAAAGACACGATGAACAACTTTTCATTGACAATCAGATTCGCGATACGATCGAGCGCTATCGGGATCGCAGCGTTCGCATCTCGTAGGATCGTCTCGGCGAAATTCGCGAGCTGTTTTGCATTGATCGGTGCATTCAGCTCGACAATCTCACGTTGCATTTGCCGGAACACCCCGTACAAGCCGTTGACACCCTTGATCTCATTCTGAGCCCGAGCCCAAAGCCATAGGGAGTCCAATGAGTTCAAGTAGTCTTTCCGATCCGGAGAGAATTGCTCGTCTATCTGATTGCCGAATCTTTTGTACGTTTTGATCAGATGCAAATACTTCTCTCGCTCTTCTACGTTCATCCACTTTTGTTGATTGGCTAGATCTTCTCTGAGATCGTTCTCCAAGAATAACAAAGCCTGTCTGATTGTGTCGATCGACGACGCGTCATTCTTGATCGCGGCGAAGGCTGCTATAGCCAACGACACTCCCAGCAAGCATGTGAAGTATCTCATTCTTGGAATCGAACCTTCGCCGATGAGTCACTCACTTTGTTTACGGTCAGCAGGATTTTAATTTCTTTCTTTGTCTTGTTTTTTCGATGAGTGTTGATCTGGAGACACGAAAAATAAAATTGAAGACTCTAACAATACAATTGCACTGTGAATTGCTATTATTAATGCCTGAATTTATTACGTCTATTTCGTTGTTAGTATCATTCCATACTAATTTTTATTACCGTATGTGTTAACTTCTACATTCTCAATTCTACATCCTCGACTGCAAGATAAAATCGAACGATTTTCGCGTCAGTGAGTTTGAGAACGATGGAGAAGGAAGATGTTACAATCATGATAGCAGGAGGGTCATGACACAAGAGAGGAAAGAGGCAACTAGCGACTAATGACGCGTTAATACATAATCTAGAGCGGCTAGGAACTACTGGGTAACGCTGTTTTTCTCCCACAAACAGCACGGTTAAATAACCACTTTTGTTAGCTGCAACAACATCGTGGAATATTTCGCGAATGTAAAGCTCTTTTTCTTTCGTGTTTTCTGTCTCTCTTCGTCCTTCGTAGTTTCCGCTTATTTCAAGTTTCAGTTTCACGAAGCCGCGAGACTTATAATATCAGATAATTATCGTGAAAAACAGTATTAATCTACATTTCGTATTAATCTAATCCTAGAAACTAAAATTATTGTGAATTAATGCGAATTAAGAATTGGAGATTAAAATTGACAATGATATTGAAGAAAATAAATTTATATAATAACAAATATAATATATTATAATATATTATAATATATTATACAAATATAATATAATATATTTGTTGAGAAAATATTCAAATAAAATTAAACAGAGAACAATGAAACGAAGTACTAAATAACAAGAATTTTGAAGAATGCAGAACCAAAAAAATTTTTCGGATGCTTTTAATCTTTTCAACGTTTATCTAATCATTAAAATGACAAAACAGTTTCGAGAGATAATAATGAAAAAATAAAAAAAAAAATAAAAAAAGCTTCATAAAGACTTCGCAGTGTAAATTTAAATATACCCGACCTCAGGAGTCGGTCTAATACAGTCTAATTAATTGACTTGACACCCGAGATATTGCGTCTGCTGATATTTTCCAGATATTTCTCAGTTCCTGTTTTTTAAAGTTTAAGTTACACTCTCCTAATAACATACGCGTTCAAAATGATCTTATTTAAAACACCCTTTTTCACACAATGTCCATTTTAATTTATTTCTCTTAGCATTTAGTGTTTTCGATTGTCACAATTTCGAAATCCATTGAAAGAGACAAAATTTCGCTGATAAAATTCGCCAACGAGGCACCTTTTCGTGACACGGTTGCACGCAGCTCGCGTATCCACGGAATGCGGGTAACAAGCCCCGCTTACTGTTTCGGGATCAGTAAGTAAGAGCAGCACACTATCGTGTGATCGACCGTGCTCGACTGAGCACATCATGCGCCAATGTCTCTTGCCCACCTCTGGTCTCCACAAGCCCCCACGTTATTCGTCAGACTTAATGTTGTGTATCTCATGCGCATGTTTCGCGTCCTCCTCTTGTCCACCCGGTACATTTGCACTTGGAGAAGAGATACAGCAGTTGCAAAGGAAACACGCACGCAAATTATTCTCATGTCTCTAGTTGCGTGAAAAATTTAAAATGTTAAATAGGAAAAAATATTAGACAGTCGCTTTTATATATTATGAAAAGTTAACGTATAGGAAAGTTTCATAGGAAGTTTTTCATTTATTCCACGTCTGTTTTTATAAGTCTCTTATATTCTGCTATAAATGGAGATGATTCCGTTTGATTGTTTGATCTAAAGCTCAGCTAAAAATAAACAAAAAGTTGTTTTATTTGCAATCGCTGGTTATATCTCTTCGCATTTCAGGAAACTTTAACTCTAGATTGAAGAGTTATCCAGTTGCCAAGTTCGTCAAACATGAAAATTACAAAGAGTTACAGAGAGTATTAATTTTAATCATCAATTGAGTTTGTAATCTTCCCTCTTCTTTTTCAAAACGAATTTAGTGTCTTCGACGTCTAAACGATGATTTGAAAATAAGTGTTAAATTACAACCCATACCTTTCTGGTATATCAATTAATGCACGAAAGCTTTAATCAAATGACTCGGGTCAATTCACTGATTCGTGTCATTTGCCACGGTGTATCCGGAGTATCGAGTAATGACGAATTTCCGTTGACATGATTTCCTTTTTCTTTCTATGGATAATAAATACGGAGTAAAGTCACTCCGTCACTTGATCCAAAGTGTGATACCATTTCTCGCTACGCAATGCCCACTGCCCGCACTTAATGGATACAGGGGGGTTCTTGTTACGATATTATCAGACCACGACTCACTCACAACAAGGGATCCTCGGGCTCATCAATTCAGCATATCAAATACGTCTCACTTTCTGCGCTTTGTCGCCTGAAATCTAAATTCCTCTTGCTACCGATGTCGATGAGAAGGACGGCGTTGACTCGTGACTAATTTCTATATGACGTGACTTCTCTAAATCAGCACAAAATACGCAGATAATAGTTCTTCCTGTTTATCACGTTATCCTGCTGTTCTTTAGACACTCTGCAAACGTGTTATTGTTCACACTCATGTCTAATTATCATATCACCCTTTATCGCTGCGTAAATAATAAATTGGATAATAAAGATAAAAGCAAGTGATGCAATATGTAATAAACGTAATAATAAGATGAAGAAATATAATAGTGTATAATAATTAAATAAAACCTAAATCTTATATAATAAATAAACTCAAGATAATAAATCATAAGTAGATGCAAAAAAAATCAAAAATTTGTGTAATAAACTCAACAATAAGTAACTAAATATAGTAATAAAATGTAAAATATAATAATTATAAATGTAGCAATACGTGAAGTGAAAGACATTTTTGTCCGTTTAGAATGAGTCATACGTAGGTACTTTTAAAAGCTGAGGAGCGATATTTTTATTTGTTTATTCAAGTATACATTTCTGACGGCTGAGGGAATATTCAATTTTCTTATGCCTTTAAAATATTCAAGCTTCAATGCAATGCAATAAACGATTATTTTTAATAAAAATGAAAACATATAAATACAAAAAACCTTGTTAAATCAATTTGCTTTTAGGAGAAGTAAATCCGTTTGGCATATATTTTACTTCTAATAAGTTATGTGTTAATAATGTAAATATTTTAAATTATCACAACATTAAATTCGTAGAAATAAATATTAGGCGGTGACAAAAATTTAATCGGCCCTCGAAGAATGAAACAAAGCAAAGCTAGTGAATCACTATAATTCTTTCCAGGAAATGGTCGTTTTTAAATACATAAACATTTGTTTAAAGTTTAGATCGCTAGTGTTAATATTAAAGATAAAAAGACTAACATTGTTCTTGGAAAATTTTATTTAAAAATATATATTATTCTGAATCAAATCTATTCGCGTTGCTTGCATATTTTGCACTCAGGATTTTCACTTTCTCTTTTTTCAACGTTCGAATATATATTTGGATCTATTCGTGTTGCTTAAAATTCCCAAAAATTTTTACTCTTAAATCGAGATAAATACATAATTGGTTGTTGAAGAGAAAAAAAAGCGAAGATTCTGAGTGCAAAAAGTGTGAGTGTAAAAGCAACCCGAAACAGATCTTTGACCTTAAAAATTTTTTTAGGATTTTAAGTAATAAAACAAATCTAATGTCATGATAGTCTCTCAGGGTGATTTCTCTCATGAGGGATAGAAGGAAGCTTCGAATCCGTTAACATTAAAGAAAAGGAAAATATTTCAATAGAAACAATTTATATTTATTCTCTAAGCTGCCTAATATTGGATTGGAAACGCATTCATTTTCTTGAACTACGTTCTCAAAAACTCTGATAATTTCTGAGAACATGCCAAATACCCACCTGCATCTGCTTAGCTAAGAGCACGAGGATGCTCCTGTTGTACACTTGTTGCTCGGACGGCACCATGAGCCTGTGTATCGACTTTAAAACGTCTGGTAGTTCTCCCAATCTTGGCGACACGCATGTCTTGGCGAATTGCAACATTGTGTACTTCTCGTACTTATCCGGATTGCCTGCGTATATCTCAAAGAGTGTGTACAGCTGCTGCACTTGACCGAGGTAATGATCCAATTCCTTTAGGCTGTCGTCGAGCTTATGTTGCATAGGAAGTTGCAACAGCAATTGCGATAGGATCATATCGCTTTTGTCCTCCACAAGCTCCTGATATTCGTCGATCTTCTTGGAAACCTGATCCATCTGCTTGAGCAGTTGACGTTCCATCATTTTCATGAATACAAGCTCTTCGCCGGCCTTTAAGTCAGAAGGTAGACTCGAATTGATCATCTCCCAGGATTCCAACACGTCCACCACGGCCTGGCGACCCAGTCTGATCAGCTCGATCGCGTCGTTTATATTGATTCCAAAGGCACAGCTAGCGCTCGCCAGGATGATGAGCAGGATTATCTTTTGATGATTCCTGGCCATTTGGGAAAAGAGTATGAGCGGGAAACGACGCGACAACGAAGATCAAGATGTCGGGAGGATGGCGCACAGTACACGCACTCGCCGTCTGCGATTGACGACGCTAACACGCTGGAACTAACGACTGCTTGCTTGCCGTTCACTCGATTCAGACGGAGCGACCGTTATGTGCCGAGGACGGTAACAGATAGTGAATGGTAGGGGGTATTGCACCCGCGGCTACGAAAATACAAGATATGAATGGAATTGATCTATTCGTTTTAGTTTAAGTCTTTTTTCGCAATATGAATATACATATACCTTTGTTCCCATTCTTACTATTATACGAAATTGAATGGTGAAGGAGGAGGAACGAGAAACGCGAAAAGTTTAGCTACGAGGAATAAAACTTTTTGTAGCGAATTTGATTATTTATAGGGTTTCTATATCTAAAAATCTCTTACCTAAAATCTAAAATTCTACTCGGCAAAATTGGAAAAAAATAATATAAAACTACAAACTTAAAAATACAAACTTTAATAAAAATTTATTCTTATATAGTATTATTTTTCAAATAATTTTAAAATCAGAATTTGATTGAATAAAATAATAAATT